AGTGTTAAATGATTGAGACGCTGGAGTATACTCAAGTACGAGTTATCAAGGATACTAGTCTTAGTATTTTATTTGGGGGCACGGCAGTGCCCCCGCCAAGTCGAGCAAAAAAGCGGCACGGCCGTACCATCTTTTCTCGAAGCAATTCAGGCCATTTTCGACCCCTTATAACTTCGTGGTCAATAAAACTAGAAGCCTGAATTTTCAGCAACCGAGTAAGCATAGTATAGACATGGTATATTTCAAATTTCATTCAATTTGAACCAGGAGTTTAAGAATTGTAACCAGTCAAAGTTTCTTAATTTTGTCACTCACTGACTGACCGATCATCAAAACTCTAAGGCACTTCTAGCAAACGTAGAAGCTTCAAATTTAGAATACAATTAGTGTTTAGTGTATAAATCAAGGAAAAACTAAAACATTTGTTAATTTCTGTCCAGTTTTTTAGATACACTAACTGCATAAATAACTTTGTAATCCCATATAAATATATAGAATTACAAAGTTACATTTGCAGTGAATGAATCAGTGTACTTGTATATGTACTACAGGTGTACATAGGTACGTTGTTGTTACTCAAGAAGTAGAAGGTACCGGAAAGGTAAAAAATTAGTACTATCTTATATACAAAAAGAAATGAGATACCATTAAAAACATAACCTGTAAAAAAAACCAAGTCTCGCAACTCAGTTCTTCTACCGTAAAAAGTTGTGAGATCCATGTAATACCAAGTCAGTTAATTTATTCAGTTCCTACTTAAGGGTCCTTCTGTTTTAGGTTATTACGTAATTATCTAACCTAACAACATTTTATAGTGACCATATCAATTTTAAAATTCTTTTGTTTTAAATATGTAGATTGACTTGGCAATCGCATTAAGCAATCTAATTTAATATAATACGTATTACTTGTGAGATACATTGTGGTTTCATGTGATGGCCAAGTCAATCTATATATTTAAAACATAAAAGACTTTTAACATTGATATGGTCACCATAAAATGTTGTTAGGTTAGCTAATTCGTAATAACTTAAAACAGAAGGACCCTTAAGTAGGAACTGAATAAATTAACCGACTTGGTATTACATGGATCTCACAACTTTTTACGGTAGAAGAACTGAGTTGCGAGACTTGGTTTTTTTACAAGTTATGTTTTTAATGGTATTTATTTATTATGAGATATAAACACGTTTCCTTTATTAAATACTTAAATTTATTCAAAAAATTTATCTTTTATAGACTATAATACAGAATGGTAAAATGAAGTATTTGCGATAAATCGAAACCAAATGGTGTACGCTCGCAATACGTGACCGACCAAATAAGTCGGACAAGTCCAACAAAAATTAATGACCGAAGACTGACAGAACCAAACGGATCTCACAGATCACTCAGTACTAAAACCCGAAATTATCCACTTGAATGATTGACCCGAATGATCCGGTTCGTATGACAAATCAATACTTGAACGAGCGGGCCACAAGAAATGAACAATTGACACACGTCTACAAAAAAAATTCCAAAGCGTGTTGGCGGACTTCATATTTATTTGAAATATTTTCTTTAAATTGATTCCAACGATGCTTGATGTTAAATGTAGATGTCTATGGGCCACAGCAACCACTTACCATCAGGTGGACTGTGTGCTCGTTTGTCATCCTTATTCTATAAAAATAAGAAATTAATTCGTTGATTGAGAAGTATACACAATAGGACAGAAACAAGAAACAGTCCTCTTGGATTTTATTGCTGTGAGTTCAGAGAATTCGACTTACGGAGTCTGCTTTTTGAAATTCAACCATTGAGCTATATGTACCATGTACTAGAGAAGCTATTCCAAACAAAAAATGTGCACTACTCTGTATCCGCATGCGCGGGAAACAGTAGAGTCGCGCATGCGAAGTCGATATAAGCGCACGAAAATTGTCATAATAAATGTTTATTTAAATTGTATCGAGTACATTTTTTTAATTTTCGTTTAATTTGCGTATGTGCTAATTTAATATAAAATTATTATCAGCGCCGCTCCGCACTGCATGAATATCGAAGCCACAATAATACAGGTGTACGGATTGCAGTACAGTTCAGTTGAATATGTGATTGTTCAGAATGCCATATCTAGTGCGTAGTACATAATATATATCGATGAACTCAACATATAACGTACAAATACTCGTATGTACCATTATAATACCTTGGCAATGGTTTTTTTCACCGACTTCAAAAATGGAGGAGGTCCTCGATTCGTGTGCCATCTCATCGAGAAATTTTTCTCGGTGAACCGATATTGAAGATTCTTTTTTTATCTAAAAGCTGGCGCTTCTAATGTGGTCTCATATAAATTTGATCAAGATCTGACCAGTAGTTTTTGAGTTATCCTTAATAATGCGTATTTAATTGACTTCGAATACATTGAAGATATTCTCATTTTATTTATATTGAAATCAAATCGGTACGTATAAAATTAAAATTGGAAACCTGTGGACCCAATATTTGTTTTATGTTTGGGAAAAGAATCTCAAAATTCTTGTTAAGTCGAATTACCATTAACTCCAAATTTTTAGCAGAATCCATTAAATTCGAATTATCGAGACTCCACTATTATATTATATGTACGAGACGTATGCAACGACAGTGGGACGTTTGCCCAGCGGTGGGACAACGTATACCAGCAACGAGCGGTACCTCTGATGACGGACAGCTCGATGGCGGCGCGCAGCTCGTCGTCCTCCGTACGTGAGCGCACGCACGACATTGCCTGCAAATAAATTTACACCTTATTACAATAGGATAAGGTTCATTTTAGTTATCTTCATATTCACTAAAGGTTGAATGTAGAAGTGAACTCTTTATCACACAAATATACACTTTAGTAGCATGGAATTAGGATTAGTAGTGTGATAACATATGTATCCGGACGAAAGGAGGAACATAAAGAAAGGAATGATTGAGTGGTGGAACTTTGGCCGTCGAAGAAAAAGGGAAGACCTCCCGCCGGGCAAGGTCTTCAGCCCGGGGAGCGGCCAATGTATGAAGTCAGAGCTGTCCTATACAGGGTTATTTTTCAAACACTAGCCAAATATTAAGTTTAAGTTCAAATACACAAATAATGATAAACCGTTATTGCAGTTTTTGAAAACACGATATACTTTTATTGAAATCATCCCAAATTGAATGCGATTTATGGGAATCTCGTTTTATCATATCAATCGACCCTTACGATTGTGTGCGTGCGTAATAAATTCAATTAAAATAATGCATTAACCACGCATTTTGAATTTAAAAGACAAAAAAGGGTAGAATATTTGTTTGAAACTATTTTAATTAATTTTTTCTTCACCATTAGTCTATATTATTTATTCTTAACCTTCTCTGCAAATGTTATCGGTTATTGCAAAATAATCCTATATATACCGCAGTACTTCGGAACTTTGATAGCGCGATTTAGGCTTCGGTGCGTTTCACTTGTGGCGCGACGACAGCGCCGTCACAGAACGGAGGAATAAATAGGATCACGCACTTACATGTGTATTACTACATTCAAAACAAGCAACATCGCACTTTCGTTTTTTTACGCGGATCTTACCTAAATAATTATAACATTTTTAACCCTGACGAAAAATAGAGGTTATAAATTTGACCACTAATTGTGTCTCTCTGTGGCACCGTAGCTCTTCAAAATGTGAACTGATGTATGGTGAAGGTTTTATTATTTAAAAGCAAGTTTTATACGTGGTAGAGCCTTGCTGCAGTTATATTAGTAGTATAGTTGTAGCACGAATGGGCCGGCTCGACCGGGGCAGTACCACGCTCTCACAGAATACCAGCGTAAAATAGTAGCTTAATGCTGCTGTATTTCGTATGGTGAGTGTAGAGAACCGGAGACCCTTTTTACTGGAAACGAAGCATTCCATCTCAGTCCTCACGGGTGACAACGCATCTGCATTCTGATTCTTAATCGAAGATAGATGTAGATATCTATGGGTCACAGTATCCACTTACCATCAGGCGGACTGTGTGCTCGTTTGTCACCTTATCCTATATAAAAAAAAAGTTTTCTAGCGGTGGATCTTAGACATGTTTTACCAAAATCGGTTCAACCGTTTGAGGAATATCAGTTTTTTTTTTCGCTTCCGAGGCTTTTAAAATTTTCAATTTAAGTAATTTTCACTCAATGTTACCAACTCTAATAAAAAAAAATGTAAAAACATGTCACCTGCGAGGAGTCCCGATGTCGAGAATTCTGTGCCGCCGCCCGTTGCGCTCGAGACCCTGCCACACAAAAGGTCTCGTAAATCAGCTAGGAAATACAAATATAATGTATTTCTGCAAAGTAACGCCTGATACCATTAGTTTTTATAAACCGAGCAGGCAGAACTCTATATTTTTACACCAGAGGAGGCCTCGTGCAGACGGAACAAGTCGTATTATTAAAGTTCTTTCCTAGTGCAGCGGTACAGCCTAAGAAGAATTTTTTTTTGGGCGAAAAATATTTGGGGGTAATAAAAAAAAATTTTTTTTTTTTTTTTTTAAAAAAATTAATAAAATTAATTATTTAAAAAAGTAGGTTTAAGGGGGTGGGTTTTGGGGGGGAAATTTTTTTTTTGCTTGCTGAGTTACAAAAAAAACTGTCAAATACAATATAATCAGTTCATAACGTATTTTTGAGTAAAAATAATTTATTTAACACTACTGGGGAAGTCTGCCGACCGACTGTTAGTAGTAGTAAGATTGTGGTTGATGGTGGTGTGATAGTAGTGGTGCTGGGATTAGTGGTGACGGGGATAGCAATTGAGGAATGGCAGGTGATGTTCTTTAAATTAGGTTACGTCATTTTATCTCATTATGCGGATCTAAGCTAATTTACTTTTGAGCATCTTAAATCCGTAAATTAATTATCTGAGAATTTCTTGATTTTTGCCTAACCCAGGGCTTGAACCCGGGACCAAATGACTAGTAGTCGCGTTTACAACCACTAAACCAAGACAATCAACGGCAACAACTGTAACCCTGTAATGTCGGTAGCAAGTACGAAATAAATAATTTTAGTACATGATGGTAGTAGTGCAGTAGATGGTAAAATGCAGTGGTGAATGGTAAAGAGTAGTAACTTACCAGGCCGTGGTGTATGCGTGGCACCGTCGCCCAGGTCCAGCTGCAGCACCGCGCCGCCGTAATCTGGAATATAATAGCATTAAATGGAATATAGCCGTCGTCATCAGTTATAAGTCTATTGCTCAACTCCCATACAGAGGGTTACATAAAAATATAAACACTCACGCCGTTACCCACAGGGCTAGGCAGAGACTACAGACTTCCATTTAGCACGATCCTGACACACCTCTCTCGCCTCCTCCACATTCATATACATACGCATACATGTTCGTCGGTTACGGGTACTCCTAATTCGGCCCGTTTTCAATATATCGCCAACTTGGTCGATAAACTTTTGCCTACAGCGTCCCTTTCCGACTCTTTCGTTCACTTCTGCAACTAACTCAAAAACTATTGGTTAAATCTTGATCAAATTTATATGCGACCACATGAGAAGCACCAACTTTCAAAAAAAAAATCATCGAAATCTGTTCAAACAGAAAATAGTTATGTGGAGTGACCTGAACATGTAATTTGGTGATCACTACTGGAAATCCTGGACTAGTAGAACTAGGTGCGCAGAGTTTGAATTTGTTTTGTTAGTTATGATGAGAACTTACCTCCGGACTTGATGGTGTGACCTGAAAGTGTACTTTGCTATTGCAACTCGTCGCCGAGTAGAACTAGGTGTGCCGAGTTTGGGCTCGTTTTGGTAGTTATTATGAGTCCTTACACATTAAAAAGGACTTTGTAATTATATTTTGTAACTGCACTTAGTATAGTACCTATGTAACTGAATTGTGGCGATCGGGCCGGCACTGTTGTTACACGCGTTATAAAAATGTAATTAAACGCTTTAAAACCCACAATAAACCAGCAATTCAGTGTAGTGTATGATAAAGATGGAGATTTCAATTGGAATCGATTTTTAAATCGATTCCAATTGAAATCTGATGAATAGATCTCTTTTTTTCTTTTTTTCTCAAGATTCTCTTTTTTTCTCAAAAAAGCGATCTTTTTTCGATTTGCTTCCAGTTTATATTTACAATATCAAAAGTTACAACTAAGTACAGATTACAAACGTAACAGAAAAGACGAAAGAAACTGAGCACACACCAGTTTTGCGAGTTTTTGAATAGAAAACTAGTCATTCTTTACGATTTCGGTACATTCAACTAATTGTTAATAATTTCATAGTTCTTATAAAAACAGAAAGATTCGATATCGATTTTTAGGGTAAAATATAGATTCACTCGATCAATTCAAATACTATACATATATCGATTTAAAAATCTTTTCGGCACAAGAAATCGATTCTTCGATTAATCGATCTCAGATCGCCATCCCTAGTGTATAGTGACCCACACGACTTATATATTAATGTTAAATGTAGGTGTTAGGGTAGACGAAAAGCTTGAGTACTGAATCCTATGCAGCTGTAAGAGCCGCATCGACTAACAGCACCAACATCATTGAAACCCGACAAGGGTAGTCGAACTGTCGAATTAAAGTTATAGAAGGATCAACACGTCTCCTTCACTGATACCGTTCCAAGATGGCACCTGCAATAACACTTACAAAGGCCACAGATGCCTTAACTCTGTATACCGGGACTCTACAAGGCTACAATCTTATTGGCTCTAAGAACCTTCTAGCTGGAACCGCAACATTGAGGCTCTGCTACTTCCTGGAGGAAATAGAGATACCTGTCTAGACGGACTCTTGGATAAAAGAACCCTCCCACCTGGTAACACATTGTATAATAGCGTTGGCGATGTGTCGGTCACTTGCGGGCTGGTTCTGTTGCTACTGCTGCAGTTGCTGGTAGAGAAAGTTCCGTGTGGTGAGCAGGTGTGGGTTGGAAATGTGTTGGTCACCTGCGGGCTGGTGCTGGTGCTGGTGCTGCAGCTGCTGGTGCTGGTAAAGGAAGTCCCGCGCGGTGAGCAGGTGCGTGTTGGCGTTTGGCGCCATCGCCACGTCCGGCACGCACGCTGAGAGCCTTCCGCGAACAGACCTGAAAATTAACACGTTGTATCTTAGTCCATTGGAACTGCAACCTCTATATTTGATAAAGCCATATTGCAGTTATGTTATATCTGCATGCAGTGGTTCGGTTAAACGGGGAAAGAATCACGCTGGCGCTGAATTACTTTCAAAACTCTCTCTCAAACTCAAAATTCCGATGTGTAATTCAATAAATTATCTTTTGCAGAAATGGCTTTTTTTTTTTAATGACCCGAGCGAGCCATCGTAAGCGCATATTTGTGTTGCAAAAGAGAGCCCGAACGAGCGATGTATAACTTAAAATTGTCCTTTAGAGAAAATATTTAAGAAATAAACATATTAATTTTGGCATTGCAATATATTTATGAAGATGTAATGTTTGTATATAAAAAATAGCTTTCATAAGAATAAAGGTGTTCATACTTTAAACACCAGGAACAAACATAAGCTTATAATATCAGTTATTAGACTCCACAGAATTAGTAATTAATTTATAGGGCAATGTATACGCTTTTACAACAAAATCCCAGAAAATGCACAAAATTTATCATTAAAGAAGTTGAAATGTTTTATTAAAGAAAAATTGTACAAAAGGACTATAATAATATCTAACACACAAATTAATATAACCCATGACAATGAGGTGATCGTCACCATTGCTTCTTAGGACATGACAAGGGGTCGTCGGAAATGACAGAACAACGTCTGCCTGGCAAGCTAGTATATATATATATATATATATATATATATATATTATATATATATATATAACTTACGTATCACGTTGTTTGTCCGCGATGGACTACTAAACTACTTAACCGATTTTAATCAAATTTGAACACCGTGTGCAGTTTGGTTCAACTTGAAAGATAGGATAGTTTTTTGCCCATGAGTGACCCACATATTTTTTTAATTTAAGGATTTTTAACAGGACATGACAAAGGGTCGTCGAAAAGGACTGAACAACGTCTGCCTGGCAAGCTAGTATGTTATATATATATATATATATATATATATATATATATATATATATATATATATATATATATATATATATAAGCATTCATTTCATTATATGCGTAAGTTAAGGCTGAGCATTTCTGCCAAATCTCATTTGTTTGCACATTCATCAGCATCGCCATCTGGGTCGAGCATACGCAGTAAATAAGCTTAGTGATTAGTTTAGTTTCATATAATTTGAGTATAAATAGACAACTTTAATTAGTTTATAGGAAATATTGTAGTAGAAATCTTCTTACTGTAACTATGTCGGAACAAATAATATTTTTTTGTTGAATTCTGGTCTATTATTTTAACTTCTTTCGAGGTTCGTACGTGAGTGGGTGCATGCATTTACGTGTGTAGGTGCACGTGTGCGGGCATACAAGCGTGCGTGTATGTGTGTGTGAGCGCGTGTACATGTACGTATACGTGTGTACGTGTGCGTGTGTATGTGTACGTGTGCGTGTACATGTATACGTGTGCGTGCGTACCTGTGCGCCTGAAGACGTGGTGGCAGCTCGCGTGGTCGCGCGGCCGTCGTGTCCCGCTCTGTCGACAACAAAGACACCACACTTTAGAACCTTAACCATGGATTTAAAATATCTGTCAAAATTACGATATCAAAAACCAATCATATAACGACATAATTAATGACTGCCTCATTGGTCTACTGGTCGTAAATGCGACTGCTGGTCATGAAGTCCCGGGTTCAAATGTCGCATCAGGCAAACAATCAATTATTCGGGAAGTTCACAGTGTTTCCCCCTCCTCCCGTGCCTCGGAAAGCTGATTCCCCTTCGGTCGTGTCGGTTCGTCATCCCATCGAACTATGACAGTGAGGGCAGAGAGAGTGCACCTATCCACTCACTTACACCCACTTACACTCAGAGACTATATCCTCTCTTGTGCAAATAGCTAGTTTCCATTGAGACTGGCCGCTTTGACAGAAATTAGGTGTGGAGATTTCATTATACGAAAATTGCGTTCATTAAGCTATCATTTCTATTCCTAATTAACTACATAATAAATAATTTTAGTTATAGTATTAGTTTAGTTAAAAGCGACAGTAGCCTAATGGCAAGGCGTGGATCGTGAACTCAAAAGGTTGTGGGTTCGAATACGCTACTGTCGTAAACCACTACTAACACAAGCATTTCAACCTTACCAGGAGTGGTTAAAAGGAATATTAGTAATGTTAATTAATAAGATTACTAATACTTTTTAAAGAAAAAAAAAATACATTTAACTTACCGGCTTGTAAGAATACAGCGGGCGCTCTTGAGTTCGTGATGGAGCGAAGCGATCCGCTCCCCGACCTGTGACCAGAAACAAACTCAATTCTCATTTTCTGTATAGGATAAAAATAACAAACGAGCCCACAAGATACAGTCCATCAGATGGTAAGTGGAACCTGTGGCCCAAACACATCTACATTTATCTTTGATTTAGAATCAAAACGCAGATGCGTTATCACCCCTGAGGACTAAGATGGAACGGCTTGTTTCCAGTAAAAAGAGTGTTTGGATCTCTACACTCGCCATACGAAACACAGCAACATTAAGCTGCGATTTGACGCTGATACTCCGTGATATCGTGGTCCTTCCCCGGTCTAGTTGACCCATTATAGCACGAACCATGACTATATTTATAACTGCAAAATGGCTGTGCCACGTGACATCCTACTTATTCGTTTTAATAATAGTTTAAAGTGGGTTTTGATACGTATAAGTGTGCGATTTTGTAAATTAAGTGTCTGCATATGTGAACTATTAGTGGGAACAATGAAGTAATGCTCGAATGGTGACATGAAACTCAAAATATCTTGTCTGCTTAGGCGCCTTCAGATTACTACCATTATCGACTGTCTCCTGGCTCAAGCAGCCGTCATCTCACAAAACTTCCCAATGTGACACATCAATATTTTGTGTCCCGCTGGGTTTCTTGCTGGTTCTTCCCAGGACAGTGGTTTTTTTTCGAACCAGTGGTAAATAAAAAAGTGACTTTCAATAAGTATTATTTATAATCTATATTGAATAAAAAAGTTACTATTTCTGTTTATGTAAAGAAGTTTTTAAGCAAGTAAAAAAGTACAACAGTACGAGTCATTACAAGATTATACTAACCGGCAGCAGTCCAGGTCAATGTCGGGCATGTGTGGCAAGTCGGGCAGATGTGGCAAGTGTGACAGGTGTGGCAGATCTGGCAGGCGTGGTAGATCGGGCAACTGCGGGGCACCCAGCGCCTGCGCTGCGCCCGCCTCCCCCCATCCCTCCCACTCTTCTTCACCTCCACCCTCTCTGCAATATACACGTAATAACTTTATAACTGCACATCAACAACAGTACAGATCTTTTGTGTACCAACGTATTTGAAAACTTTTAAAATCCGATATAATTCTCAATGATACATGATTTTATATTTCAATGCTAATCTGATTTTATAAAATTAAAAATAAGGTTAGTTTATTTAATATAATTAAAAAACAAATACTACAATTCTATTATACTGTAAGATTTTCCGTGTTGACAAATGTATATTAAAGATATAATTGACACCCTAAAATGATAACTTGAGGAACACCAAAACACGAATAACAATACCAACCTACAATTAAATGGCAAATAACAAATCAAGTGACAACGGTATAGTTAGAAATGCGTATTACTTTTCAGAGTTTTCTTCACAGTCGGCTAACAGCAGATCTGCACATGAATCGGGCAGCGACATCTCTCGGACGGCTCGTAAAGCAATCTGTAAAAACGTAAGTAATAATATAGGTAATTTATTTGTACACTTTATTGGAGATAAAACAGACAAAAGATTTTAAAAAATAATGTAAACTAAAATATACAAAGATAAATTTAATTATTTCTGAGAACATGCACATGTATGTTAACGGACCACCGATATGGAAAAAAAAGGTTTTTCGAGTGGCAGCATCGTACCGATAGACGTAGGGCGACCCCTTACTGGATGGAGTGACGACCTGGTAAGACATGCAGGAAGTTGATGGATGCAGGTGGCTCAGGACCGTGCTTTGTGGAATTCATTGGGCGAGGCCTATGTTCAGGAGTTGACTTGTGATGGGCTGTAATGGTAATGATGATTTAAAATTATTGAAAATATTCGTTTGTACTATTCGCCTTGAATGGGTTCAACCGTGCTTCAACCGTAATATAGCTGCAGTTATCTACTACGTGTAAAAAAAATTGTAAATTTTCTTTTGTATAAAGTGATAAAATTAACTTCTTCAATAAAAATAAAATGAGAACATCACCAATGTAGTTGAAGTCAATTAAATACGCATTATTAAGAGTAACTTCAAAATTACTGGTCAGATCTTGATCAAATTTATATAGATCATACGAGAAGCACCAGATTTCAAATAAAAAAAGAATCATCAAAATTTATTTACCTAGAAAAAAAGTCATGAGTTAACAGACATAAAAAAATACAGTCGAATTGAGAACCAAATACTTCAAATAGACTGGACTGGAATAGTCCATTTTTGAAGTCGGTTGAAAGATAAATATTAAGGGCGCTTACAATTTAGATGTTTCGTGTCTGACCGCAGCGGTACCGAAGCGGTATTATTGTCGTATTGCGCACGAACGGTCGTTTATTTAGTTTCATACAAAGCACGCGGTGCGGCAACGCAGTGGTCGTAAGTGGTACCGCAAACGCTTGGACATCAGGACGGCAACTTCGCAAACTCACTTTGTATGAAAACGAACGACTGTCCGTGCGCAATACGACAAACGCACCGCTTCGGCAACGCAGCGGTCCGACACGAAACGTCTAAATTGAAAGTGGCCTAAGGCTGTGCTGACGAGCCGTTTCGTTAAGTATACGCGGCGCCACAGTACCTGCTCGTGCACTTGGCTGGTGTCCGCCGCGTGCAGCTCCAGCGCGCGCACGGCCGGCGGGGACGCACGCAGCTCCCGCACGCGGGCACGCAGCGCGCCCAGCGTGCGCGGCGACACGCAGCCCGCCTCCCCAACACGCGCCCCGCCACCCCCGCCCGCCCCTCCAGCGCCAACAGAGCTACTGCCGCTGGACCCGTTCTGCGCAGCGGCCACCTGGAATAAGGATTGCCTGCTGTAGAACAACCACTGCAACCGCCTTCAAATCAAACCTACACATGTCTTGACAACTGTGAGGATTAAGATACAATGTGTAAATATTTTGATCCTTCGAGCCAGATGTAAAACGAAACACTTTTACTCCTACAAATTTTAAGTTCTTAATAATTTAACAAACATATAGTTAATAACGGTTGTATTGGTTATATATTTAAAAATTTATTACATTATTTAGTATTTAAAATAGTGTAAAAAGATGTAACATAATTTACCGAAAAAGTAGACATTTAGAAAAAATACTAATTATGTTATGTGATATTTAGAACAGTAGCGTCAAGTATATGTTAAACATTAACAAAGAACACATTACCATATACAACGTATCTGGTATCCTGTGCAGATATCTAGCTCTGCGCACCCGAGCCAATTCTGCTTCAGGCACCGCTTGGTCCTCCAATAATGCCTGTAAATTTTCGATAAATTTAGTTACAGAGTTACATAAAAACATATACATAAAAAACATATACAAAAAATAAAAACATATACAAAAAACAATTGAAAACTTAAAAACATGTACATAAAAAGTAGAATAAGTTTAACTATATTAAAATACTCACAAATAAAATAAAAATGTAGGTAAAAAGGTACGCAACTTATTCTTACTATATAAGTATATACAGCATATTACTTATCTTATTTATAGAAATTTGAGTTTGTACGTTTATGAGTGCATAAGTGTGCATACGTACGCATGTATGTGCATAAATGATGGCTTAAGTATTTTATTTAACATAAAAGCGTAATTTCTATACAACCGAAACAATGTAGGTAACTCGACACCATATTTAATGCTCACGTCGATCGTGGTTTTCATACATTTTGTGTGATCATAAAGATGTAGATATTGTATATATTATTTAACAAATGGACACCTTTAGAAATTGCTATAAATTGTATTTGATAATAAAGAGAAAAATTGCATGCTGTATTTCATAGCTAAATTTGTAGGTGTTAAAGGAACTTATTTTTACTGCAATTATATATATTATATAAGCCTTTTCTTGGCACGCAAAGGAACTTGCCTTTGTACGTATCTGAGTGCTTATGTGTGCATGTAGGTACGTGACTGTGTGCATATATGTGTGTTTGTGTGCGTGTGTATGCGTGCGGCACCTTGATCTCGTCAAGGTAGGGCAGGAAGCAGCGCGGCGGGCGTGCGGAGCCACGCGCGAGCCAGGCGTCAGCAGCGGCACCGCGCTCCAGCATCTGCGGCGGCGGCTGCGGCACCAGCCCGCGACGCACCGCCTGCATACGCATAATACAATACAATACAATCACTTTTACTACAATTGCAACGAATAGTATATTGGGGCCACATGCTGAATACCGAATATTCCACGACCTTACTGGCCGATATTAGGCCTAGGCGAAAGTATTCGGCCGGGAAGGAACTTATGTTTAATCAGAGGGTCCTTTTGCTGTAGCTGGAATTAGAGCAAAACAAGAGTAACCTACTGCCCGAAAATACTTTTCAAGTGCATAGACATTTATAGGAAAGTTATTTATAATTTTTTTATAATACGGAGATAAGAAGGAAAGATTATATGCCTGTGATTACTTTAATGGTTACAAAAAACAAAACATTATTATAACATAAATCAATATTTTATTTTCATCCTATGAATTATCTAATTACAACTAAACATCTTACTGAAATATTCGGTATTCTGTCAAATACTACTTATTATTTGGTATTCATTGGATAGACCGAATACCAAATAATATCTGAATTACACGTCTTATTTTTGTTCAATATAGATAACAAAAAAAATATTTCAAGTAGTCGGCAAAATTTAAACAATATAACATGATGAATGGTTAACTTTTCGTTACGTATAATGAGCTAGTTATTTGAGGCTAATGGACTGAAAAACGTACCGCCCATGTTTCATAAAAGGTACTCTGACTTCGTGGTCTCTCCCTGGTAAAATTGTATATGTCTTCGTGTACAAAATCAATTTATACAGCAGGTCAGATGTGTACATGTACTATGCGATTCATATGACAATAGGACTGACCTATCGCCATATTGTAAATTTATAACTGTCAATTCAAATCATATTGGTAGGGTAAACAAAATAGATAATTATGAAATAATATTTAACAAAAAAATTATTAATAGACTTAAGTATTTAAATTTAACTCATCTCTGTATCACAGTCGGAGTAGAAATCATTATCATCGTTATCATCACTACTACTTTTCCTAGAGAATATGGATTTATGTAGGTATTTTAAATATACCATCGACTACTGTAGTGTAGCCCTTACGACATTATATATTTGTGTTAAGAACACAATAATAAAGAGTACAATTAAAGACCTAGCAAGAATAACATGCAACATTACACTAGTAATAATATTTTAAGTCAATAAACAAAAATGCTTATGAGTTTAATATGTTTATATCTGGTTATACTAAGACATAGTTAAATAAATAAATTTAAAAGTGGAAATTATTTTCTTTTTCAAAGCCATACATTGTAGTCATTGTTGTTCCTATTCTTATTTGGATTGCATTGTAGGTGTACGTGAGCATGTTCACCTGATGCAGCAGGTCGCAGTTGCTGGGTACGTGTATGTGAATGTATGATTGTGTACGTGTGTACTCAACTGATGCAACAGACCGCAGTCGGACGGCAGATGTTGTGTTTGTGTGCGTACGTGTTTGTTGGCATGCGTGCGCGTGTGCGCGCGTGAGCTATGCTACTATTTGACGCTGGTACGGCCGCAATGAGAACGTGGTCCAAGGTGGTTTGCATTCAGTTGAGCGGTATGCGTGCACGTGTACGTGCAATCTGATGCAGCAGATCACTGTCTGTACTGTGTGTACTATAGGCGCGCGTGTGATTGTGTGTGTGTGTGTGTGTGTGCATGTGTACGTACTCACCTGGTGGAGCAGGTCGCAGTCCGGCGGCAGGTGCTCCAGGCGCACGAGCGGCAGCAGCGCGGCGAGCGCCTCGCGCAGCGCGGAGTCGCATGCGGCGCCCGCGCGTCGCCGTGACAACGCCGCGCGCCGCCCACCAGAGTGCGACGCGTGCCACACCACGTTCGGCTCTGCACACGGGGGGAGGGGGGAAGAGAGGTGAATAAAGCGATTGACTTTTATACCATCTAAACAAAGTGTAAACACATATGAATCGTATAGCAAATGTACACCCGCTAGCCACTGAACTAGAGGAATATATTAAGTTTTTCAGTGAACACCATGCATCGCGTGCCACACCATATTCGACTCTATATAAAGGAGAAGGTATTATATTATAATTGAGAAATATTTGATCTAAAACGCAGGAGAAATATTTTTACGAACTAATAGTTAATTCATTAGTAATGAGTCATAAGATCAAAAGAGATCCGAGCAAAAATTTCGAAGTTATTAAAAATAAACTCTTTTATTTTTATTTTTTGACAACAATAACTTTCGAACGGATCAACCGATTTGAATGTAATTGGTGGCAATCGACAAGGTATTTAAAGAACAATAATGAAATCTATTACAAGAAAAAAAAGATTAGACTACAAATTTATGTGAAAAACATGTTCCGCAATTTTCCTCATTGATTTTTCTTCAACGCACCTGCGCAAACGACACACACACACACACACACACACACACACATACACACACACATACACACACACACACACACACGCACGCACGCACGCACTCACGCACGCACGCACGCACGCACGCACGCACGCACGCACGCACTCACTCACGCACTCACTCACTCACGCACGCACGCACGCACGCACGCACGCACGCACGCACACACGCACGCACGCACACACACACACACGAGCGCGCGCGCGCGCGCACGCACGCGCACAAAACGTCGAGATCCGATAAAAACCTCGATTTTAAAAACTGGGGTGAAACCAATCACTTCCAGATTTTTTGCAAATCATTGATTTTTAAATAATCTGGAAGTGTATATTGTTCACGAATGACCACAAAGGTTAGTAAATGTTGAATCTGTTTTTTTTTGGATGGGGTAACGAGTGCGATTACCTGATGGTTAGTGGTTGCTGTGGCCCGTAGACATCTACATCTATCCTCGATTACGAATCAAAATGCAGATGCGTTGTCACCCGTGAGGACTAAGATGGAATGCCTCGTTTCCAGTAAAAAGAATCTCCGGTTCTCTACACTCACCACACGAAACACAGCAGCATTGAGCTACTATTTTACCCTGGTATTCTACGAGAGTGTGGTCCTTCCCCGTTCGAGCCGACCCGTTCGTGCTACAACTAATATAACTGCAGCATGGCTCTACCACTTTTGTTTGATACGATTTTGTATGATAAATACTGACGTGTCAAAGACGTATGTCAAGGACGTAGTAGTCGTCCATTGATGAGCATGTTAAGTCAAGTACTCCTATACAGCTATTAGGTTTAACACCAACTCCAAAAATACTACCTTCGCAGTTTCGTCTAGGAAGTGCTCTTGGCCGCATTCTCAGATATTATCGAGACTTGCGAACCCCAATTAATAAGTGTGCGCATGATTTTATAAGTAGATAGATAGATAGAAAATTCTTTACTGCACTTAAAACAAAACAATTTGGTACAAAGGCGAACTTAATGCCGAAAAGGCATTCTCTGCCAGCTAACCTTTTGTAGTGTGGTGAGAGCTATGGGTAGAGCCGCGAGAGAAAGAAAAACTAACTTATTTATTCATACTATTCAAAACGCATTATATAATATTATGTATATGTTAGTTTATACATATATACACTTATACACATACATACATATATATACATACATACATATATATTTAAATAAAATATATACTAAACCAATAAAGCATACAATATAGTATACGAAATTATAATAAACATAATCAATAAAATTAATCAAGTAATTTTAAATAATATGCCTCAAGCTTATGTTTAAATGTATTTATTGAAGGAGCATCTTTTAAATCTCGTGGAAGGTTATTCCAAAGTCTAATTGATGATACCGTGAAGGAATCCAAGTAGTATGCAGATTTATGCATCGGGAGTTTTGTTGGTCATCGAACGGGATAAGGTTAAATATGAAAAACGCTCTTTTAGATAAACTGGAGAACAAGGATTGTGAAATAAGTAGCATGTGAAGCCCGCACGTTGAGCACCGCTACGCTGTCGCCAATAAAATTTCCTTCATATCGTTGTTACTTATGTCGACGCGACTATTTTCCGCTTCCAACGAAATCGACGATTTGTTTTTGATATTTGCATTGTTTTGCGGCTTGTCCTGAAGGCCTCATGTAACATGGTGTTACGATTCTTGTTGTATTCACGACACCGCTTCTCAGAAATGCATGCTTTACCTTGGTGACCTACGATCGGTGCCGTACTTTTTGAAGTTGCTGATCAGCTGTTCCATAACAGAAATCATCTGTTGTTCACTCACTTATAGGTGTTCTATTGTGTTGTTGTTGATAGGTATTCGATACATGTTAGGTGAATTGATCGTTTCCTGTTTGCTGCCATGTGAAGATGAACTTTTTGCAATATATACGTCTTCACAATCTGCTTGGTGAGATTCGCTTCTGAGAGGCCCGACAGACCGATTTGCTATTATTGAAAGTCACAATCACACTTTACTTTCGAAGGATGAAAAAAGATGTTGTTGAATTCAACATCTTTTGATGTAAATGTTATTTAAAACATTGTTTGTGCAAAAAAGTTAGGTGTATTAGCACACGAGACCTTGTCGGCGTCCGTACATGTACTGGCTAAAATATAAACTTTAAAGTAAAATACCAATGCGTACATAATGTGTTTGGTGTAAACTCAACACTATATAAATTGTCGATATTTTAAAACGCGATATATCGATATTTATTTTAAAGTATCGAATTCGTATCAATTTTGATATATTTGTATGAATCGACAAAATATGAAACAAAAAAAGCGCTTACAAAATCATCCATGTGCTTTTATCGTTTTTTTTTTCGTCGTCCAACCGTCCAGTAATAAAGTTTCGGGGCTTATCTTATTATTATTATATCATGCAAAAAGATATATACCGACACTGTTTGATACCGTTTAAAAATATCGATACTATATATATCGTTATATTTTTTCACTTGCCCATTCCTAAAACATAAATTGACACGGACAAACATCCAGACTCGGAATAATTATTTATAGGCCATACAAATACTTGTTCCGTGCGGGATTCTAACCCACAGCCTCTAGTGCAGCTACTTATTGCTAAGTCATTGCGCCAAGGAGTTATGGTGATATGTCATGACTATTATGTTATGACTGGAGATATGGTGGATATGGTGACAAGGTGGAAGGTGGGATCAAGTGAAGTGTTTTGGTACCTCGTTGGTGGTCGGGCTGCTTGGCGCGCTCGGCCCAGCGCAGCAGCGCGCGCAGCGCTTGCGCCTCGCTGGCCTGCAGGAAGTCCGAGCCCAGCGCGCTGGCCAGCGCACTGCGGGGCAGCCGCGCGGAGGCCGCTTGCGACATCACCACCGGGAACTCGTCCCGCAGGTAGCGCATCGCCTGCCTGCGCGCATACACAAACCACAACAAATCTTTATTTATTGTACTACCAACATCATTTGACTGCCTTGTCTAATGGTTGTACTAGTACGACTGTTGATCATGAGCTCCTGGGTTCGAAACCCGGGTCGCGCTAAAAATTCTATTATTGAGTTTTCCGTCGAGAAATTCTCAGTAGCTGCCCGCAGTCAGGAAGTTGGCGGTGTCTCACCCCCGTGCCTCGGAAAGTACGTAAAGCCGTTGGTCCTGCACCTGATCTCTCTCCGGTCGTGTCGGTTTACCGTCCCATCGGAGAGTGAGGGAATAGAGAGGGCACCTGTGCTTGCACATACACTTGGCCAATGTAATCCTATCCCGTGCCAATCGCTAGTCTTCGTTGAGGCAGACTACCGCGACCGAAATTCAGTCTGGAGAACATTACAACGCTTATACTCTTATCTATATTTATATTATGGATATTCTCGTAACTGTTCTTACATATAAAGGTAACTGCAGCGCGTTTTAGACTGCATGTATAACAAATAAGAAGCAAAACCCTAGATACATTTTAAGCGTAGAAAACTTCAGTATACACAGCACACTCAGCACACTCAGTACACTCAGCACGGCACGCACCTGTGCACCCAGCGGCTGGCGTGCGGCGCGGCGGCCCAGCGCAGCACATGCGGCAGCGTCTCCGCCGAGAGCGCCTCCACTATTGCGTCCTCACATCCCTGCACTACGATCGGCATCTCCACGAACCTACAACACACAAACGCATCATCACATCAATAAATCTACTCCCACAAACACACGGCCGGAGTGTGGACCCAAAAGGACTCAGAGCCTACACAAGTTGTTATAAGCTCCTAAGAACCAAAACGATAGACAACAAATATTTCCGATTATATTACTGCCCCTTCATCCGGCTCGAGAGACCACTAACTATTTTTTATAAAAATTGTGTTAAAATTTAAATTTGGAAAGAATAATAAAAGAAATCCTTCTCTTAATTCTTAACACGTTTCATTTGCAAATATTTATAAAGTGTACTAATAATTAAATGGGCATAATATCCTAAGGCATACACTACACTAATATGCACATACGCAAAAATATACAGGCATTACTTACAAAAGAAAAGGCGACAAACGAGCTATGAAAACTATGATTATAAATGATTGTCAAAATTTTCAAGTACAATCTCAGGTTCCAAAAATACAAGTAACGACTCGATATTAGACGTAGAATATTTTATTTTTATTTTATTTTATTTTAATAAGGATAACAACAGCGTATATCACTAAATAACTACAATTTCAAATTTACTTCAAGTATGCCAATAACAGTTATCCACATATTAAATATAAAAGTAAGCTATTATTAGGATAAGAAATTAAACAAATTAAAACAACTTAATAAAATAACAGTAATAAAATTAAGTAATTTTAGGTTTACTAAGATATTAGGTCTTTCTGACAAATTGATATGTGATTTACTTTTCGAGTTGATTTTATAATTCATTTATTTATATCATGGCAAAATATATTCTATATATCATTACATATATACATACAAGTATACGTACACACCAATGTACATAAATATTTTAAAATATATTAAAATATATCAATATTTATTTATATTATTATTATATATAATAATATAAATAATTCACTTGACATAGCTACCTAAAGTAAGTGTTTCTTCATAATGTAGCTTACCGGCAGAAGTAGAAGTGAAATCAAAACCTAAATGAAAACATTCCTTACATCTTTAACAACTACACAATTTTATTATATGTCAACACGACCGGTAACCACACATTCAAAGGAAACCAGCGTAAGAAAGTAGCATAGTACTACTTAGTGCTCAAAGGTGCATCCTGATTAATCAAGGATATAACTAGATGTCTAATCGCTTAAGTAACTTGTGTGTCGCCCTCACGTCTACAACAAAATATATTGATGGATATTGACTATGCAGTTAAAGGTCTTAGTAAAGTTTCCTGTAATATATATAAATGTGGTATAGGTTGCAGTACAAATGGGCCGGCTCGACCAGAGAAGGACCACGCTCTCACAGAATACCAGCGTAAAATAGTAGTTTAATGCTGCTGTGTTTCGTATGGTGAGTGTAGAGAACAGAAGACCCTTTTTACTGGAAACAAGACATGTCATCTTAGTTCTCAGGGGTCTGCATTTTGATTTATAATCGAAGTTAAATGTAGATGTCCGTGGATCACAGTATCCATTTCACCTTGCCATTAGACTACTGTCTCTTACAATAAAGGTGGTAAAATTAAAAAAAAATATATTGTACAACCGACTTCAACATAAATAAAATGAAACCATCATCAATGTAGAAGTTAATTAAAAAATCATTTTTAAGGATAACTCAAAACTACTGGTCAGATCTTGAGACCACATGAGAAGTACCTCCTCATTTTTTAAGTCGGTTTTTTATAGAATAGGGTGACAAACGAGCACACAGTACACCTGATGATAAGTGGTTGCTGTGGCCCATAGACATCTACATCTATCCTCGATTACGAATCAAAATGCAGATGCGTTGTCCACCGTGAGGACTAAGATGGAATGCCTCGTTTCCAGCACACGAGGTCTCCGGTTCTCTACACTCACCACACGAAACACAGCAGCGTTAAGCTGCTATTTTACGTGATATTCTGTCAGAGCGTGGTCCTTCCGCGGTCGAGCCGACCCATTCGTTCTACAACTATACTACTAACATAAAAATAAAGTTGTGATCATACCTAGCAATCTCGTAGAGCTGGAAGGCGTCGTCCAGGGCTGAGGCCGAGGCACGCGGGGAGCTACGCCACGCCTGCATGCGGACACACGTACGTACACGTATTTATTATTGTTTCATAATTATTCACTACTTAGAAATATTAAAAAATTAATAAAAATTACACAAAATAAAATATTTAATAAAACATGTGTGTAGTTCACACGCGGTAGAGGTGAAACCTTCAGTATATCTATCTACTCATTCATTCATTCAGTATATCTACTATCTCATTCTCTCGCGGGCTAAATCCTATACGTATACGTTTCTCTTTTTAATGTCGTTTTTTTCGTTTTATCGAGTTTCACATCACAACGATCCTAAGGAAGTTTTCACTTCAATAATTATTAAATAGGAATCAAGCGTTACTTTGCGGTAATCTGTAAGATACGCGTAATAAACTCTTCAAACTGGGTAAAACACACACACACACACATACATCATGTTATTTTGTTACGCAGATCTCAGTTAATTATTTTTTAAGTCGGTGCTAATAATAACAATGTTCTCCAGACCGAATTTCAAATTTCAAAGGTCACGGCGGCTAGTGTCATAGTGCCCAATGTATGCGCAAGCACTTTCTATTGCCTCTTTCTCATACTCCGATTGGACGATAATTCTGTACGACCGGAGGGAGATCTGACGCATGGCGAACGGCTTTACTTGCTTTTCGAGGCACGGAGGTGAAACATCGCCAACTTCCAGACTTCAGGCTGTGCTAATGAAAAATTCTTGACAGAAACAAACAATAACTTATTCTGGCCCCATCCGGGATTCGAACGCGGGTCCTCACGATCAGCGATTGCGTTTACGACCACTAGCCCAACGAGGCAATAGTCGGTACTAAGAGAGTGTAGTAGTAGTAGGTAGTAGAGAGAGTGTATCAAAACTTCGACTTCGGAAGGTACCATTCCGATAAAAGTCCACCGCCTCACCCAAAGACCTCCTCTATTTCGATTTTGCCATAGTTGCCACGCTTGACAGGCGTGTTGGCAAACGCAGTTTCATAAATATATATATATATATATATATATATATATATATATATATATATATAACTGTACACGGTGTGCAAATTTCATTAAAATCTGTTAAGTAGTTTAGGAGTCCATCGCGGACAAACAACGTGACACGTTATATATATATATATATATATATATATATATATATATATATATATATATATATATATATGTCCGTCTGTAGTATCAAAAATACTGCCTTATATTGAAAAGAAGGTTATAAGCGTATATTTAAGACGTAACTATTTTTAAAATTTTTGACTGTTTATCTGTCTGGGCTTACCTTGGGAATGACCGATTCAATTGCAATGAAATTTCACGAACGGATAGAGATCAAAACCAGAGAGTACAGATGGAGTGTATTTTATTAACAAAATTATTCTCATTCATATTCATTCTGTAGCTAGAAAAAAAAATAAAAGCTGTCTACTTTGCGCCTGTGTTCGCGCTGCCAAGATTGGTTTTAACCAAATTCGGGTCACTAATAAGCCCCCTAGCACGCCTTTACATTGAGTGCAAAGCTGCTAGGTGGCATTTTGAAGCATCAGCCCATATATGGGTACAATGTCCTCCAGACCGGATTTCGGCCACGGCGGCCCTGCCTCAACAGAGAATAGCCATCGACGCAGGACAGGATTATAGCGCCCAAGTGTATACGCAAGCACAGGTGCACTCTCTATTGACTCACACTCATATTTTGATGAGGCACGAGGGTGAGACACCGCCAACTTCCTGACTCCGGGCACCTATTGAATTTTTCTTGACGGAAAAACTCAATAATTAATTTTTTGGCCCGACCCGGGATTCGAACCCAGGACCTCATGATCAGAAGTCGCGCCACTACAACCACTAGACCAACGAGGGAGTCGATGGCAGCAATACTCCATGCACGACCGGACTTGCGCTTTATATAAAGTAAGCAGCTGTCCCGGCGTATAGTACCGCCCTGGCGATAAAACCTCTATAATAGAAGTATAGTTGTAACATGAATGGGTTGGCTCGACCGGGGAAGGACCACGCTCTCACAGAATACCAGCGTCAAATAGTAGCTCAATGCTGCTGTGTTTCGTAGTGTGAGTGTAAAGAACCGGAGATCCTCTTTACTGGAAACGAGGCATTCCTTCTTAGTCCTCAGGGGTGACAACGCATCTGCATTTTGATTCGTAATCGAGGATAGATGTAGATGTCTATGGGCCGCAGCAACTACTTACCATCAGGTTGACTGTGTGCTCGTTTGTCACCCTATTCTATAAAAAAACCTCTTTAATTAAAAAGATCCTATTAAGCCATAACGGCCATCTGGCTAAAAGTACTAGCATCACAGTATGTAGATAAATTTAAATTGGTTTGTTCGGTTCACAACTAGGGAAGATATCGGAAATAAGATATACAAAACTTTATGTTTTTTGAACATAGACTAATTATACTACTGCGTATGGACCGGGTCATTGAACAAACAAAATGGCACCAAAACCTTGGTACGAAAATGTTTATGGAGCACCAACGCGAGCACCTATGAGTGCCGTGTTTCCAACACTGCACGGACTTTTAGATATTTTGAACAATTTTAGGGAGAATCTACTTATTTAGGTAGGCCTTTAGGCGTTTCTTTAAGTTGATAGGGTTTTGAATAATTTGAGGTAAAACCGAACTTCAGGTAAACCTGTTTTTTATACACACCCAAAACATTTTTTAAAGATTTTACGAAGATGATAGAGTCAAAAGAGCTAGAAAAGTGTAGAATAAATATTTGTAATTCTGTACATCGGAATAGCCGTGGTAGCTCAGATGGTTAGCGCTCACTGTAAATTTTACAATACTCGAGCAAACCGGGTTCGATCCCTGCCGGCACCAATGAAATTGTTAATTGCAATTTTAAGTGCTGATTTACCACATGCTCGGCGGTGAAGGAAAACATCGTGAGGAAACCTGCATGTCTGACAAATAAGAAAAAAAAATATTTCGAATACATGTGAAGTTCGCCGACAGGCATTGGGGCAGCGCGGCGGACTATTCCTTGGCCTAAAACCCTCTCAGAAGTGAGAGGAGGCCTGTGCCCAGCAGTGGGACGTATATAGGCTGTAACTTTACTTTACTTTTACATCGGAATAATGGTATGTATAATATTTTACTTAGTTATTATTCGTTATTCATATGAGACTAAGTGTTAATATAATTTGAAAATAGGAACGTCTCATCACTCATCTCAATTTTTAATCCTGAAATGATATTCATATCTTGCAATGATGTTGTTCTTTAAAGTATTGAAAATTAGGTGCAATAAATAAGGCTATTTTGATTTATAACGATAATTTAGGGAGTATTTCTACAGGGTGTAGGGTAAAACCCAAATCATACGTGAAAACACTGGTTCCGTGGTAGTCCATGAGTATCTAAGAGATGGTAATGATTTATTGTCTTGTCATTTATATCGATGTTTTTGAAGTGAAAATTCCCTTACAATTGTTGTGATTTGAAAGTCGATGAAACGAAAAAGTGACACTAAAACAGATAAATATATACATTTAGCCTGGAAGAGAATGAGATAGAATATAGTATAGCACTATATAAATATATTATAGTGCATGTGCATTCGTATCATGCTCGCGAAGTTTATATCTGTGAACGTTTGATTTCTACCGCGTGTGAGCAGCAGACGTATACTTATAAACAAGTTTTGTAAGGTTGGACCGGACATTCGCTTCAAGGGTAATTACACACTCTCCTTCTCTCATTCATCACTCTCTTTCTTTTTTTACTACTGTACAATTTTTTGTCTCTCTTTATTTGTAGTTCCCTTGCTTTCTGCAGTTATTTTCAGATAGGATAAAATACTCACGGAGCCGCTACTGCTGGTGCTGTTGGTTGAGGAGGGGGACGAGGAGTTCCTGCCTATCAAACCCAGGTCCACCTGCAAACACGAGTTTAACAGTTTAGTAGAAAAGTTTCAACAATTGATGAGAATGTATGTACATAGTTTTAACATTTTTAAGTTTAATTATCTTACGTACAATAACTTTTTATCACGAATGAACATACAAACGAACGAATATCTAATGATTTCTTATATTGACGCGACCACATTTAAATAATACTAGTTTTTACAGATCTTATCGCGTATATTTAACTATAAATACCCGACGTTTCCAGCGTTGGAAGCCTGCAGTCTGTGAACACGTACAGGATCGCCCCCGTCACTACATCAGATTTGATAGACCACAAATCCTCGCTAAAGAACACCGATTCCTTCCAAGGATGATTCGCGAGGCTATTAAAATCAAAAAACATCCTAATTTCAATAGAGAAGATGGCTGGGTGCTACCATCTGCTTGGGATCCTATAATAAATAAAATTAAATCCCAACCCAAGCATACAACTGCAAGACTTCAAGATACCATAAGTTCATACTGCATAGATCGGAACAAAAGTTAAATTTTAATCTATGGTAACCGCGGTTAACTATGACATATGGACGTTGAACATCTCAGTCCTGCCCGTGACCATGAATGCTGTAAAGCGTTCGAAACGTCGGGTATTTAAAAAAGTTAAATATACGCGATAAATTCCGTAAAAACTAGTATGATTTGAACGTATATCTGTACGTGTGCACGTGTATATGTACGTATGCACGTGTGCTGGTGTGCTGTGCGTGTGTGCGCGCGCGTGTACCTGGTCGGTGTATGCGGCGTGCAGCAGTGCGCGCGCGAACCTGCGCGGCAGCACGCGCTCGTCCACGCACACCGAGCTGCCGCCCGCCCCGCCCCCCGCGCCGCCCGCCCCGCACGCCCCGCGGGACAACACGCTCCTGCACACGACAGAGTCGTACGTTTACACATCTTCGTATGTATCGTAGTATCGATCGCGACAACTAAAAACTTCAATGTATACAGTACTACACGGATACTAACACATTGCACACACCACGATTGCGATATCGTTTCATATTTTGGGGACTATCAAAATACAGGGAATTAATTACGAAATCTCAAAAACAGTGTATTCGAGCTATATGTGGGATAAAGCCTACAGAAAGTTGCATACCATACTTTACATCTCTTAAGATATTAAAATTACCCTGTATTTATATACTAGAATCGTGTATGTTTGTAAAGTGTAATCCGGAACTTTTTGATATAAGGAGTACAACCATCTTCGGTTAACTTTCGTCCTCGAAAACAAAAATCCAGACAAATGTACATAAAAGTACCCTTATGAAAAAAAGTGTTGTTGAAATGGCCCCTAAATTATATAATAAATTAACTGATCACATCAAATGTTATAATTTGCAAAAATTTAAATGTATTCTAAGTTCTTACAGATGAATGTTAGTATAATGTCAATGAATTTCTATTTACTAATAATTTAAATATGTAATTTAATAATTTTATTTTGACTCTACTTAATTTAATTTGTTTTTTATGTATATTTAATTTTATGATGAATGTATATATAAATTCGTATGCTGTTAAAGCATTTCACGGAAGTACTATAAAAATATAACATTGTCAACCTTGTTACCTGCGAAAACGAATAAAATGATTCATTGATTGATTGACCACAGCGTGACACATGCTCACACACCTTCCTATGCAAACAATACACAAGGTGCAAGTGTAAACACCGTCGTCACTAAAACCATAGGTTTTAGTGACGAGGTGTTTTAATATTAAAATGGGGCTTTAATATTAAAATATTTATCCGAATTTTAAAAACAAACGCTATTTTCTTTCATAAAATTTAGAAAGTTTCTGTCCGACACTGTCCGTAAATTAATGGATACCCTATGCGCCCGAGTGACGTAATCACTTTAAAGATCACCGCCCGCGCTAGCTACCTACACAACATTCCAATAAAACACAATAGGTACACATAACCTGTGATGTAACTTTTCCTTCATACTTTCAACCTGGCTTAGAACAGGCAAAAATTGAGGAATAAAGGAAAAATTGAGATTTTACTAAAAAAAAAGTTATTTTTCATTGAATTTTCGTTCTAAAGTAAAACCAAACCACTGGTTTCAAGGATGACGGTGTTGACACTAACAGCCTGTATACATACTACAATGAAGCAGTAATTCAAAACTAAAACCGTGTCACAACTGAAAATCGCGCAAGCGCCGGCTAAATAGCAGTCGCGATAAATTTGCAACGCAATTGTATTTTTATTTACGACACGTAGTGTTTTGAGGCAAGTACGAAATCAATATTGCATCATCGTGGTTTGAATTTTATTCAGAAATAAAATTCAAAACACGTTGACAAAATGCGTACATAAATAATTACGTTTTCTTAGTCACATTAAACAACATCAGTGTTATGTTATCAAAAACAACGAGATAAAAAAGAAGAATTGATCGAACTAAGTACTCAATGTATTAATACTGCCGTGCTCACTTCGTAGTATACGTAAGTCTTTTGAAAAATAAGTGCGGTTGTTATTATTTTTCATTATCTTAACACAATGTCATGGAATCCACTTCACATTTCAATTTTACTAAAATTAGTTTTTATACTAGATGACGTTTTTTACCGTCTGGAAAAAAATAGGTTGTAAAAATAGGGTGAAACAAGGCTATGGCACTGGATATTTTACATTTTGTTTTCATTAACATATTATGAAATTGATCTATCAATAAATATTACGAATTCGAAGTAAACTTAACATACTAAAAATTAAAAACAAAAATATTTAAATAAATCAAAACTATCGACATTCAAATCATACGCACCCTACTTTACGAGCGGCAATAAAACAATGAATTTGTAACGCACTCGCCGCACGCACTGCGCCGTACGTTTGCGAAAGGACAAATTTCCTTTCGCAGGGTCCAAAGCGCAAGCCCACACGCTCAGGCACTTTCATTTCAGTCACCTGTGATTAGCTATGGCGTGACGTCGTATTGTTTATGCTTCCGCGTGTGTATCGGCCGCCTGCTGATAGTTATCGTAAACATGTACCAATACTCTAATATCGAGTACGTAATAATGTAATAGATCTTTTTCAATACTGATTCAAAATGTTAGCTGGAACAACTCGACCCACTCAGCCGCTTGGCGTCTATAAAATAATGATGAATGCTTAACGAAAGAAATGTACCTGCATCTCGCTCGCGCTCACAACTTTCATTCACAAGCGATCGTTCCCTATGCCACGCCGTTTAAAATAATATCACCTATTTTTATTTTCACACAAAAGCCGCAGGATGAATTGTTTTTATGTATTTTTTTAGATATTCATAAATTTTGTCTATCTAAATAATATTTTATTATACTTTACAAATACCTTTAAGAATAGGTTCTATTCCACTTACAAAAAACACCATATCATTTTCCAGACGGTAAATAGTCACCCAGTAAAATTACAATGAACGAAGTTAGTCTACCTGATGCTAAGGAACTACACGGAACAACCCACGGAAACTTTAAAAAAATACTGCACGTTCATATTCACCTTTCAGTACTAAGGTGCTTTTTTTTTTTTCATACCGGAACACAACAAGAAAGTTAAATAATTGCGTGCATCCCTAATGAATTATAACACCTATATCAATATTTAATTATCAAGATGAATATTAGTTATTTTAAACTAAACTGCCTGCACACCATATGTGCAATGTACAAAGTACAGTGAACAGTGAGTATGCAGTGCGTAGTATGCAGTGCGCGGTGTGTAGTATTCAATACTCGAAGTGTATTGTGCAGTACGTGGTGTGTAGTGTAAAGTGCGCATAGGGTATATAGTATACAATGCTCGAAGTGTAATGTGTAGCATACAACACACGGTGTGTATGTGTAGTACGTAGTGTACAGTACGCGGTGTGTAGTACGTAGTGTACAGTGCGCAGATTAGTGTGCGGTGAGTAGTATGCAGTGTGCACGACAATGACTCACCGGAAAAAGCGAGAGCGCGCCGCCAGCACGAGGCGGTGGCACGGCAGCTCAAGCGCGGTGCGGAACCCGTACGCCGCGCCGCCGCCCTCCAACCGGAACACAAGCCGCGCGTCGCTCTGCTCCCCTGCGCACGCCAGACCCCAGCGTTACACTCCAATATTTTGTTTATATATATTTATACGTGGTAGAGCCATGCTGCAGTTATATTAATACTATACAGATAGCGCGCGAGTTGAATGCCGTCGGGGCCTGAGGTGAAGAGCGGGAGCATCTCCCCCCGCCGTCCGCACGCCGCGTCACGCGCGCCTGCAGTGTAGTGCTGTGCTGCCCTTGACAACTATCATACGCTTACTGTGTTATCGTGTTAATATAAAGTTGCAGCCGCGTGTTATTTTTGTTTTTAATGATGTCTGATCCGTGTACGTCAAGTTCTGTTACAAAAAAAACGAGTTTTTATTCATCGCCAAGCACGGTAAATGGCGAAAATATAGCTCTCTCTCAAGTCACAGAGGAAGATTGGCATGGCTTCGACGATCACGTCATAATTTTAGAAGAAAATTATTGACAAAGAGATGGATTAATGGAACATACCATAGATCGATTCGTAATTAAGGTCAGCGATGGTGAGGATAGTAACACCGATTCAACCAAGTCTGCCATTTCAGAATCTGATGTTGCATAAATTATATTTTTTTTATTGATTTTGATGTGTAAAATAATAAAAAATGTGTGATAATTATTACCTTGTTTTTTCTAAAATTAAAACGTTAAACTTAAAACAATGTTGAAATTTATCGACATATTGTCATCATTAATTTTAATTAGGTCACAGCACTATCGCATTCCTGAGCTCTGAATTCAACTCGCGCGCTATCTGTAGTTGTAGCACGAATGGATCGGCTCGCCGGGGCAGGACCACGCTCTCACAGAACACCAGCTTCAAATAGCAGCTTACTGCTGCTGTGTTTCGTATGGTGAGTGTAGAGAACCGGAGACCTTTTTTACTGGAAACGAGGCATTCCATCTTAGTCCTCATGGGTGCATCTGCATTTTGATTTATCGAGGATAGATGTAGATGTCTATAGGCCGCAGCAACCACTTACCATCAGGTGGACTGTGTGCTCGTTTGTCACCCTATATATATATATATATATATATATATATATATATATATATATATATATAATATATATATATATATATATATATATATATATATACAACATGTAACATAATTAACGCACTTTGAGAAAATAGTTTGTTTAGAATCGTTTACTGAATCGATTCCTATAATTCAATATAGGTAATTTTTTATCCCAAAAATAATTAAAACTACGTAAATTACAGTCACACTAAATCTGTACAGTCAAAACAAACTGAAATGAACTGTAACTTAAGGCAATAAGACTTTAAGGAGTGCAGTTTTATTTGTATTATTACTAATTCTGTCATTGAATAAAAATAAAGAAAAATGAACTTTATTTGAAGCACGTTAAAGTCTTTGCGTTCGTGGACTTGTACTGTGACCACAACATTCTGCCGGAATTAGTATAACTAATTTGATAAATAATCAGTGCATAAAAATGTTTAACTAAAAATTCAGTGTATGTATTATGATTATAACATAATATATATAATAATTGGGTTGTCTGAGAGTGTGCGTTAATTACGTTACGTATATATATATATATATATATATAATCGGGATCTCGGAAACGGCTCCAACGATTTTCATAAAATTTAGTGTCCAGGGAGTTTCGGGGGCAATAAATCGATATAGCTAGGATTTATTTTTAGAAAATGTCTTTCTGTCCGTGTTTTTAGGCAATGAAATACTGCTACAATATCGTTAGAATAAAAAGGTAAATTTTGACAGTTAATTAATGATTATAAATAGCTTAATTGGGGTATGTTCCGAAATACAACGCAGTGTACTGTCCAATGCAAATGACGTCATGAATCGACGCTATACTGGTGATTCGTTCCAAAAACATTGGACAGTATATGACGTCATACTTTTGCGCCATTTGAAAAAGTGTTGGCGATTATTTTGTCATTTTGCGCTTCAAAAATCATTATATCCTCCTAATGGATATACCATCAATTATTCTATAATTTTTTGTATTCGAATAAATAGAAACAAATTAATAATTATTATTTTTAATTTGTTTCTATTTATTCGAATTTATTAGAAACAAATGAACAAATTAATTATTATTAATAATTTTATACGTGGTAGAGCCATGCTGCAGTTATATTAGTAGTATTGTTGTAGCACGAATGGGTTGACTCGACCGGGGAAGGACCACGCTCTCACAGAATACCAGCGTGAAATAGTAGCTTAATGCTGCTGTATTTCGTATGGTGAGTGTAGAGAACCGGAGACCCTTTTTGCTGGAAACGAGGCATTCCATCTTAGTCCTCACGGGTGACAACGTATCTGCATTTTGATTCGTAATCGAGGATAGATGTAGATGTCTATGGGCCACAGCAACCACTTACCATCAGGTGGACTGTGTGCTCGTTTGTCACCCTATCCTATAAAAAAAAAAAAATTCTGGCATGCTTAATTCGGCAAACACACAATTAAAAATTGTTTTATTATGGCCGGATATCCGATACAATATGGCGGCGGCACGCTAGTACAATAAAGTGTCAAACTGTCAAATGATGACGTCATTTGCATTGAACAGTACACTGCGTTGTATTTCGGAACATACCCTTGGTATATTGGGCGGTGACAGAATCGTAATACCCTGGTTCGAGCCCAGACCGACCGACCAACTTTTTTTAATTTTTTTTTCAAGTTCCTTTCTTTTTTGAGATAATCTATTTTATCGAGCCCTTTTTTAGTATTTTTTAAAAAACACGAAAATTTAAATTAAACTAATTGCACTCATGATTTTTATTCAAATAACCAGTTCAGCTTTTTCTATTATGTCGCTAAGATCAAAAAATATTATTTGTATTTCATCAGTATGTAATTTGTGTCTAAATATAATTTCCAAAACACACGAATTAAAAAAAACCGAGCGAAAAATACCGAGCAAAGCTCGGTCAACCGGGTACTATAAATATATAATGAGGTGATCAGCAAGCACACAGTCCACCTGATGGTAAGTGGATACCGTGGCTCATACACATCTACGTCTATCATCGATTAGGAATCAAAATGTAAATACGTTGTCACCCCTAAGGACTAAAATGGAATGCCTATATCCAGTAAAAAAAGGTGTCCGGTTCTCTACGCTCACCATACGAAGCACAGCAGTATTCTTCCGAGGTAAAGTTAACGAAGACAAAGTAGAACACCACAACTCACCGGACTCCAGCAGGTACTTCATGTCTCTGTGGAGCGTGTCGATGGAGAAGCCTAGGATCTCCCCAAGCCTTCGGAGACTGCGAGCGTCACTCCTCGTGCGCCCGCAAGCACAGGAGCGACGAGCTGGAAACAAGCGAACAAGCGAACAAGCTCTCAGACACATCTGTAAGAAAGTCTAAATCACGCAATCAAAATTCTGAAGTACTATATATGTTATGGACCAAGTGATTAAACAGTGCAATATTTATAATGTCTGGACAAAATGATTATGACAAGTCAAATCGGGCTATGTAATTAACACTTATTTAAAGTTCATTATTTACAACTTCAAACTTTGGTCATTAAGAATATTGCCACTTATCTGCCACGTAATTTGATTTAACCTTAACTTACCGAACCTAACTTAGCAATGTAAATGATTAACTTAGGTTCGGTAAGTTAAGGTTAAAGTTAAGTAAAAGTAATTTTTTTTTAAACGTTACCCCTACACTAAGATTTTCTCTTGTATCGTAGGGGCAGTTTACAAACATAAATTGCACAAGGACAAACATCCAGACCCGGAACAACTATTTGCAGGCCATACAAATACTCGTTCCGTACGGGATTCGAACCCGCAGCCCCCAGCGCAGTCAGCAGTCACTCATTGCTAAGCCACTGCGCCACGGAGCCGTCAAGGTAATAAGTACACAATGTACCTAATCTGAAATTAACAAGTGTAAAAATGTGAAGGAAGAATAAAAACACTTTGCAGTATCAAATAGCTGCAATGTGGCCCAACTCCCTTTGCGTTACAATTTTGGAAACTGTCTGTTGATAATGTCTTATTAATTCTTATTATGTGATTTGTAAGGCCACACACTTTTTAGAAGAGAGAGTTGTAGTTGGTTGGTGAACATGTCAAAAGGAAAAGATCAGCAAAGCTAAAAGTTTAATTAAAAGTAAAATAGTTAATAAAGTTAGAGTGGCAGATCTTTCCTTGAGTATTTGGTGTTCAGAAGGACGGTTGTTGACGTACTGCCGATCGTCAACTTACAATTTAATAGGTAAATTTAAATACACGCGACGCGCGGCTAAAGTAGGTTGCAACGTTTACTAAATAAAAATGTGTGGTGTAAGCATACACCTATTCTGTAGGAAAAAAAAAACAGAAAATTCTTTAAGTGATGTGATGTGAAAATTAGATAAAGTTTCAACATTCACTACTGCGGACCTGCAGCAGGAGTGATTTTTAGATAACATCTATCGCTGGGTAAGGTATTACGCCCGGAGAGCGACCAACGCTCCGTGTGGTAGTATGGAGCTATTCTATATATGGTTATGTATAACGTGACCAGATGTCCCGTTTTGAACGGAACCGTTTCTTTTTATATGGTATCCCCGAAATGATCTCTGGGATGCAAAATTGTCCCGTTTTCTTACTAATTTGCTTTCTTACCAAAGAAATAGAGATATTCTATTGGGCAGATTTAAAAAAAGTTCTTGAAAAGGAATATATTGACTGTAATAAAGATGCAGAAGTTTTTGACGAACTACAAATTTCAGTTCTAAAGGCGTTACTGATAATTTAGGTGAATATAAAAAAAGGTGCCAAGAGTTACATTCTTACTTAATATCACCACTAGCTATATTAAAGCAAATTTGTTCCTGTGAGAAATATAAATATAACTAAACGTATATATATATATATATATATATATATATATATATATATATATATATATATATATATATATATATATATATATATATATTGACTACCTGTTAATTGACCTAAATATCCCAATTTCCCGTTTTGAGTCAAAAAATAAATGGTCACGTTAGTTATGTACCAAGGTGACAAACGAGCACAATCAAAGGCATGCGTTCCCTTGCCTTGAATCCCTCTCAGACATGGGAGGAGGTCGGTAGGACCTACATAAGCTGTATCTTTACTAACATCTCAGTGGTAGGTCTAATCTGTGAAACCGACAGGTATCAAAAGTCGTTATAACTTAATCCGGCTCGAAGGACCATACGTAGGCAGTTTTCGTTAACGATAATTAAAAACGTTGAACACTTACAAGCGGTGTTCTCCCCGCTTATGATGTCTAGGTCGGACTCCACTTTTGCATTCCTCTCCCATTCTGTAAATAAGCATTTAACATTTAAAATAGTCTTCTCAACTGTTGGACTTGAGTTCCCATAGTTGGGAAACTACGTTCAGACGGTGGACTGCAGATTATTATATTTCGTTAGGGATTTCTGGTAGTCCCCATAGTCACCTTTTGCAACATTCGCAAGACGACGCTTTTGACTGAATACGAGGCATTCCATCCTATACTCGCGGGAGACAACGCATCTGCAATTTGATTGTTAATTGAGGATAGATGTAAAATTCTATGGGCCACAGCAGCCACTTTCCATCAGATACACTGTATGCTAGATGTCACCCTTATGCCTAAAACAATATGGCATCCAAGATGTTCCAACATTTATCTAAGGTACACGCAATATACATGTTGGCATTTCATAGCCGATGCCAGCAGCGAAAAATTTGTGTGATCCATTGGGAATGCAGATGCGTTGTTACCCTTGAAAACTTAAATGCATTGCGTCGTTACCAATAAAAAAGTGTCTTCAATTACTCTATTCTATTTTGATTGTTTAGTGGGTCTCGTGGGTGTAGTAGTGCGACTGCTGATCATGAGATCCTGGGTTCGATTCCCGGGCCGGGGCAAAAAATTAATCATTAAGTTTTTCCGTCAAGATATTCTCAGTAGCTGCTCGGAGTCAAGTTGACGGTGTCACACCCCCGTGCCTCGGAAAGCAGGTAAAGCCGTTGGTGCCGCGCCTGATCTCTCTCCGGTCGTGTCGGTTTATCGTCTCATCGAATTATGAGAGTGAAGGAATAAAGAGGGCACCATTGATTGCGCATACACTTGGTCATTATAATCCTGTCCTGCGCCGATGGCTAGTCTGCGTTTGAGGTTGTCCGCCGTGACCGAAATTCAGTCTGGAGGACATTATCTATCTTCACCATTTGAAAAACAGCACATAACGATCAACTATGGCCTTACCTATACCTATACCTTTTTACGCTGATATTCTGTAAGAGCGTCGTGCTTACACAGTGATCCCGTACCATTCATGTTGCGACCACAGCTTCAGCATGACTCCAATATGTAAATTAACACGGTACTATGATGATCCGGTACTATAACATTGTAGTACATACTATGGTACTGTTGTGCTATATTAAAGTACGTTGGTACTACAGTACAGAGGTACTATAGTACTGTTGTACTATATATAAATACTGTGGTACTACGATACCTTGGTAATGTAATACTACGGTATTTTCGTACTGTAATGTTATAGTACCGTGAACAATAGTACTACGCTAACTACAGCACTATGATACTAAAGCACTATGTTATTGCAGTAATACGGTACTGTGGTGTGCGCAGAATGGAGGGTTGCACTAACTCGAGCATAATTCGCTGGCGAATTGTAATATTATAGTCTGTGGTACTGTAGTCTTTTGGTACTATGGCACTATGGTACTTTAGTGTTGTAATACTATTGTACTTTGTTACTTTAATACTGTGATACTGTAGTATTGCGGTATTATAGCACTATGGTACTATAGAAAATTATGTTTTTTCTTTAGATACAAAAATATAATGATAAATGTTTCTTCGAATCCATAAGCTCCCAAAGTAGTGTTAAATAGGTTGGCTTTTCCTATAAACAATAGTAGTGTGTTATTGTAGCACTACGGGTACATTAGTACTACGATACGATACCGTTGTGCGTGTGTGTATGCGGAGGGAGGGAGTATGTACTGACTGGAGTACTGTACTACAGTACTACCGTACTGTGGTGTGCGTGTGTGTGCGCATGTGTGCGTGTGCGCGCGCGTGTGCGTGCACTAACTGGAGTACTGTACTATTGTACTGTGGTGTGTGTGTGTGTGTGTGTGTGTGTGTGTGTGTGTGTGTGTGTGTGTGTATGTGTGTATGTGTGTGTGTGTGTGTGTGTACTGACTGGAGCACAGGTCGCAGGCGGCGCGGCGCGGCGGGCCCGGCGTAGAGCGCGCGCACGCTCGCCTGCAGCTCCTCCTTCGACAGCGACGCGCCCACGCCCTCTAGCGGCACGCGGCATCCGCTGCAAACAACAACCTGACTATGCAACAACAACAATAACAACTTTATAATGCAAAAACAACAACATGACAATACGCAAGATTTGGCGGGAACTACACCGCGGATGGATTGTTGCTTTATAACAAAAAACAATAAAACTGTCAGTCGTAGGACTGCATTACAGAAGCGAAAACTTCGAAGCTTAACGAACTTTTAAACATTATTTTTGTAATGTATCTGATCGTGACGGTCATGCGAATTCACTGCTTTTTTCCCCACCCCAAAAGTGTCCAAGTTGCATACTACATAATATAAACTAATTTAAGGACGTAAGAATATCTTATAAATCAACATTAAATGAAAATTATTCTATCCTATAGTTATTTAAATAGTTTAAACTTCATTTTGATACGTCAGAGAGGTGCGATTTTATGTATTAAATGGTACAGTGAAACTGTGAATACGTTATTGCTTTCTTAGTGCATTTTGTAACTGCGGTAATTGAACGTTACTAGCTAATCAATATTAAATTCTTTAACACAACATCAAATGCCTATTAATAATTTTTAAATGACAATTTCACCATTTCTATACGCCGTAGAGACACGCCACAGCTATATTATGGTTGTAGCATGAATGGGTCGGCTCGACCGGGGTCACAGATTGCCAGCGTAAAATAGCAGCTTTATACTGATGTGCTTCGTATGGTGAGTGTAGAGATCCAAAGATCCTTTTTTACTGAAAACAAAGCATTCCATTTCAGTCCTCAGGGGTGACAACACATCTGTGTTTTGATTCTTATTCGAGGAAAAATGTAGATGTCTACTGCTGGGCCACAGCATCCACTTACCATCAGATGGACTGTGTGCTCGTTTGTCACCGTTATGCTATAAAACAATCAAAGTACTTACTTGGGATACCTCTGCAGCAGTTCCCTGAAGTACGAACACCTGGCGGCTAGTATGGCACGATGTGCCGCCAGTGACCAGCCTGCGCCCACCAGCTCCACGTCGCACCACCACCTGCACGCCATACACTTTTAATTTACAACCCGGATCGAAGGACCAATTTGTTACTATTACAGTCCCTAAAAATCCACTGCCGACCACCGGCCTCTCCTAACAATTGCCTCGTTTTATTAATACTTAACTACGAGGAAACTGAACAAATTATTACATAACTGAAAGAGTAAATGTAATTTGGAGTATGGTGTAAATGTAACTTAAAATATTATAATAATTTCATGAAAAGCTTGCAGGCGTTTGTGTATGCTTTGTGGTTATGTGAGCAGTGGCTTTAACAATTGGCGTGACGTTTGTAGTATCATTATACGAAGTATCGAGTATAAGTACTACGAAGTATAGTACGAAGTATAAGTATAAATATACTTCGAACAGTCACACCAATTGTTAAAGTCACTGCTCACATAACCAGAAATCACACACAAACGCCTGCAAGCTTTTCATGAAATTATTATAATATTTCAAATTACATTTACTCCCTAATGCTATATCTTGCCTTACCTTGTTATTTATTGGGGTGAATTCGCCATAGATGCTGCGCTTGGCAGCGCGGTTATCAACCTCAGTTTTTGTTATTTCTAGTTGTTATCAGGAAGATACTGCCACCCAACACTGATTTCAATTTTATATAGATAGATCCGAGCTCGAAGGACCAAATTGTTGGTGTAGTGGGAAAAGGCTTAGGGTTCAAAAACGACACTTATGTAACTTCAGTCTGCATCTAACTAATATTGGATGTAGAATGAAGGTGCCAGCGTTATCGTCATTGCGTCTGACTGACTTGATCGCGGTGACAACTACACTACAGTGTAGTTCGATAAATAATTAGAGATAATGGTATTTAGCGGAACAGTCCCTAACAGAAAAACGCTTCCTAACTGCCGCATGACGCTGCGGACACGCGTGTGTGTGTGCGTGTACCTGTCGCGCAGTGCAGCGAGCAGGTCTGCGTGCAGCGCGGGCGCCGGCTCGCGTGCCAGCTCGGCCTGCACGAGCAGATCGCGCAGCGCGGCGCCCCGCCTCCAGCTGCTCGCACAGCACGAACACCTCCGCCAGCCGCCACGAGCTCACCACCGACCTGATGAAGCGCGCGTGCTCGCACCCTGCCACACCGAACACACCACCCACCAACCACGTATTATTGGATGTTTCTTTTTTCTCATCTTTTACGCCGTTGGCTACAAGGCCTTTAGCCAAAAGGAATATATCAAAACTAAGTTATACATTATCCAACGTAATTTCCCCATAATATGTTGATAAATCATATTGGGAACTTTTTTAGGCACTTAACGGCAACTTACGTGCTCGCACCCGCCGCACCCACCCATGTATTATTATCACCGACCACCTAGTGTACGTATTATTAGATTTTTTGCTAGTTAATTATCGATCTAGCTACAAGGTCTTTGGCCGAACTATATATATATATATATATTTATATATATATATATATATATATATATATATATATATATATATATATATATATATATATAAAAAATAAAGAAGATTGAAAAATATCATACTAAAAGATGAGAATAATTATCGCCCGGTAACTTTAGTGCCTATTTTTCTAAAATATAATGTCTAAAATATAATGTAAAATTTCGACCACGGCGGCCTGCCTCAACGGAGGCTAGCCATCGGCGCAGGACAGGATTATAGTGCCCAAGTGTATGCGCAAGCACAGGTGCACTCTCTATTCCCTCACTCTCACTATCCAATGGGACAGTAAACCAACACGACTGGAGAGAGATCAGTCGCAGGACCGGCGGCTTTACGTGCTTTCCGAGGCACGAGGGTTTTCTTGACGGAAAACTTCAAAAATTGATTCTTTTGACCCGACCCGGGATTCGAACCCAGGATCTCATGATCAGATCACACTTCTCTCTCTCTCTCTCCTTAAAATATAAAGCAATATTAAAACGTATAAAGGAATTCACCTCAAAATTTAATATAATAATAAACGAACAATTTGGATTCAAAAGCAATAAATCAAGTACCTATGCATGTTTTCATCTTGTAAAAAATGTTGTTAATAATTTAGACGACAGAAATCACATTTCAGTAATGTTCGTAGATATGAGTAGAGCGTATGACTTCGCTTCACACAAACTTCTACAATACAAACTAGACAACTTAGACGTTTATAGATCGAAAACAAAGTGTAGAAATTGCAATGTTAAATGATAATAAAGAACTAGAGCAGCTTATATCACCGTACCAAACTAATGGATATGGCTGATAAATAAAAAAAAATTGGTTAGGGACACGGTGTAGAATCAAAAATATCGATACTGTCCTCACGAGTAGCATCGGATAAAAAGTAGGTATCGATTAGAGATGAAACGCATATCGGGTAACTATCCGATATTCCGCCTACGGGACAACAAACAGCTATCCGGCCGGATACCGGATTTAAAAGAACCCACAAAATATCAAATTCAGTCAACCTTCTTCATTTATGCCACTTATCAGTAATCACAAAATTTTAATCTTAACACTTACAAAATTAGTACTCGTACTGCGCTAAAGGCACAGAATAAATAATTTAGTACTACGTAGCTAAGGGCAAATTACGGTAAATAAATAGTTATTTCTCTGCTTTAAATGTTAACAAGCGGTTTCGCCTGTCTTCATAAACAAGGCCAGCTTCAGAAAATAGTCTTTCACTGTACACACTTCTGCAGGGTGCTGAAAGATTGATTTTCGCAAACTTTGATTAATTCGGGTATTGTGTGGCAATACCTGCCCACCAAATATAAGAGTCACGATGGCGAACAATTTGCACTGACTTTACTTTTTCGCTTCTTGCGATGCACCAAATCCGGCTGTCCGGCGATAAGACTGGCCCAATATCCGGTATCCGGTATCCGTAACAACCGTATCCGTTTCATCTCTAGTATCGATAATTTTACAAAGACATATTTAAAAACAAATTAACCTTTTTTATTAAATTATTTATTTTTATTGTAAATTTCAATATTAACTTAATTAACACTTAATCTGCCCTCAGTCACGTTCTAAATGTAATACTTCGTACAAAGTGACTGACACGACAGCGAAATGCTTAATTATATTTTTGTGTAATTGCATAGAAGAAAAACTACTTACTTCACATTAAACTTCCTACTTTTCCTCTGTACAATCACTCAAAAACATTTATCTGATTGTAATGCTGATAACCTGACTCTGTGTTTAACGTAGTACTACCTGTACACTGTACTGTACACTGGAACAACTTTATTATAAGTAATAAATGTTCACTGCTGAACATAGCACTCTCCCATAGATTGGCCTCATAATTGCCACAGAATTTGCCATAATTGCCACGCGGGTTGGCATCGCCCTTTTATTTTTTAGTTTTTACGAAGAAGACGTCGCGCTCGAATAACGAGCTGACGAATTAGAAAAAAATATCAGAATAATATATATATATATATATATATATATATATATATATATATAATACTTCTAATACAATATTATTGTAACTAATAGACCAGCAATTCAGAACCAAATGTTGTATTTTCATTTACGATAGTTAACGTTTACACACTTAAATAGTTACGTTGTACCAGTTCTGGCGCACTTGTAGAAAGGTTGTACCAGTTCTGGCGCACGACGTTCGTCGACTCACAATCCTAAAAAAAAAAAAAGCCTCAACCGTCATTAGCGCTCCATTGTCCTTATCTACTTATCTATTGTTGATTGACTACCGTCATTATCTATTATTCGTCCAGCGTGTGGGTCGGCTTATGCTATTGTATTATACTCCTTTGTTCCTATCTACAACACTAATCTGAATCATCAATAAAACACATTACCTAATTTTGTTAAAATTTTTATTTATGAAATACAAAATCTTATTACTTATTATCTATAAAATAGGAGCGAAACATCTCATCCACTAAAATATCGTTGTACAATGTGTTCTCTGTAAATATACTCGTAAAACTATGCATTGAACATCCCTGAAACTTATATAGCAAATACATTAAGCAATATTCGCCACAAACTGAAGTCCACTCATTCTGAATCCTATCAACATTCCAGTTCCATCTTTTACAATTTCTTTTAAAAAACTCTAGATGATATCGTACAGGTGCCCGTCCGAATGAATCAAAATATTGACCGACGTCATTCGTATCGATATATAAAGCTACCCAATGTGACCCTGGTTTATCATCTGTATCCAAATTGCATATTATATACGTTGGTACGTGGGTGTACATGGGTAGTTTATTGGCAGCATAAACATTATTTTCTAGAGTGGGGTGAATCTTTTTCAGATGTTGTTGTACATCTAGTGTATCCATAATATTACTGCTATTAGTAGATTATTACAGTACCAATCTACTCAATGACTAATATAGGAATGATCAATTATAGTGATATCTAAATATTAAATTGCTTTCTTTGTGTTATACAAAACGTATTTGAGTCACCAATACACTGAACAAGACATGACAGGAAGGACGTAGGAATGTAGAGATAACCAACAGAATGTAAGGTAAGCTTGTTGACGCATAAAGATACTATCAATTCTACTGCAGAAATTCTTTAGATTAGAATTATTACTCACTGGTACTATATAAGACCAAGCAACTGCAGTCATGGAGTTAGTGTATGGTCGTTTGACCGCAGTGGATCTATCAATACTACGTTTGTGTTACTTCAACGCATCAAAGGCCATGGATGTAAGTGTTTATTCTATTGACAAACTTACTTTTCTTTCTGTTATTTTCTTACGTGTGTATGATTTAGTGTTAACAAATTATATTTAAATATTATGTGTGTGTATATGGTTAAGCCGTGGTAGCTCAGATGGTTAGCGCAAAATGTAAACTTCATAGTACACGTCCCGGGTTCGATCCCCGCCGGCACCAATTAAATTGTTAATTACAATTTTAAGTGCTGATTTACCACGTGTATAGCGGTGAAGGAAAACATCGTGAGGAATGCATGTCTGAGAAAATTTCGAAGGCATGTGAAGTTTGCCAACACGCATTGAGGTATCGCAGCGAACATTTCCTAGCCCTAAAACCCTCTCAGAAATGAGAGGAGGCCTATGTTCAGCAGTGGACTTTAATAGGTTGTAACTTTAGCTTTTTTAACTTTTATGATTTAGTGTTAACAAATTGATATTAACATGATAACTGTGTTGTTGCAGAAATCATTGAGCTTCGATGAAAATACCTATAAACAGTATTACTACTCGCCACTCTCCCCTCAAGAAGAGAGTGATGACATCGTCATTAATAATAACACATGCGATGGTGGAAAAAGAAAATCGCAATCGATTGATCATTTTTTTGAAGCTGAATCAAAAATAAAAAAGAGGAAGCTGTTATCATCAACCGTAGCACGAGCCGCTAGAGATGGTGTATCATACATTTCTACTAATTCTGACGACGGAGACCAAGCGACGCATCTCATCAAAATTGAAATGTACGATATGAAGAAGCTATCCAAGATTCCAACTACTGATCATTGGAAACATGCTTCCACGAGGATTAAATATTACGTAAAGACTAATAAGGATAGCATCTACGACAACACAAACGCCCTCGTATACAATATTACAAAGACAATAGCAGAAAGTGAAAAAGTTAAAAAATACTTTTTTAACAATGACAGTCATTAGCTGATCATTAGTGAATGTGATTCTGTTTACTTAAATTACAGGAAGACAAGAGCAGAAGAAAGAGATGAGTGTGGCATACGTGTACAGAACACATCATTGAAGAACAAAACTACAACACTGAGTGGAGATGAAAACGAGAATATGCAGTACTCAAGAGCTGAATATCCATTCTTCAGTTCAAAATCTAGCCGGTTGCTCAGTTTCGAAAACTGGCCTCTCGTTATGCGACAGAAACCTGAAGATCTTGCAGAAGCCGGTTTCTTTTATACTGGCCATGCAGACAGGACCAAGTGTTTCCATTGTGGTGGTGGCTTAAAAGATTGGGAAGATGATGATGATCCTTGGCAGCAGCATGTTCAGTGGTTTAGTCAGTGTGCTTATGTATAATTTAAACTCGAACAGAGTTTTGTATTAGTTTAAATAGAATATTTATAAAGAAATAAAAAATAATATATTGCATACAATTTGTTTTATTTAATTTTATAATGTTTCACATAGTTACATACACACAAAATGCATTACACATAACTCATAAAATCTAACACACAACACATATTATAACCTTAACTACTATAGTCTACAGTAACATTTCTGTTTTTATCTATCTCAATAATATTATCAAACTCAGCATAAACTATACAGTTAATTGTTTGTATTAGTGAGGATTCAAATCGTACTTCTAATCTTACACTACCATGCTTTATGAGATTCCAATGAGCTGATGAGTTGGCTGATAAATCAGGAGTTAAGTCAAATGCTAATAGACAGTAACCTTTGGCATACTGTTCACAAGAGATTCCATTTCCTTCATTAAGAAAGTGAATACCAGTTCCCGAGAATAGAGTATGATATGCTGATGTAAATATGCTATTATTAAAAGATGGTTGCAAAGCTTTTGAAGGTATTTGTTGACCATCAATATATAAGCTGAAAGAATTAATACCATAGTTTTCAAAGTTAAATGGATTTTTAGTAAGGGAACCATTAAATGCAGAATTGTTCACAAATCCAATTATACATCTTTTGGGTACCTGCCCTAAAAATATATTATCAAGAGTTTTTCCTTGAACACCCGATGGAATTGTTAAAACTTTTACTTCAGCTCGAGTAATAGGATATTTAGCAGTGGTAGAAGCTAAAACTTTTTGATGTGCGAGTAATACACTTGGATTAATTCGTGCTCGTCGAACAATAAGAGTTGCGTCCGTAATGCAAACTTTAAACTTTACATCGTTTGACCCAGCAATTAAATTAAAGCTCTCTCTCGATCGAACCAATTTAACACTCATTTCAACACCATTAATTAAAAATTTATCTTGGTTGAAAATGTCACCGTGAAGATGACCAATCATTTCTATTTCCTTACTTTCAC